ATGGATATGCGGAGCAAATCCATCTGGCGGAGTCAGGTTACCAATTTCAGACTCTGGGGGGAAAGAAGTCTCCAACTTACTGTAGATCTACCTACTCCTCCATGGAGCATGTCGTTTTTGATCGGGGGTGTGCACCAAAGACTTGTTTTCTACTGCTGGTTTTTTCCATTCGAGTCTCTCTAGGGTGGATTCACAATGATGCTTCTTTTACATCATCTTATCATCTTTTAGGACATGCTGGTAGACCTTCCAGTCAGGTGAGACTTGCTGATTGAATAGGAATAACTTTAAGTAACAATTTGTCAGATGTATGAAAAATTAGGATCTTGGTTTATTTAATTTATTCTGCTCAAAAATTTTGTTTTCATTTGAAGAACGGTGAACATTATTTTACATACTTTTTAGATTTGCTGTTATCCTGTTCCATATTCTTTTTTAAATAACTTGCAAAGCATTAGCAATCAGTTTGTCTTTTTTGCTTTTATTCTTTCTTCATCAGATCAGAGTTTTTTTTTCAGCACTTAAAAATACTATGAAATGTACAATGTTCCCTTGTAATGAAAATGCACACAACATCTTCTATGGGCTTGTTTATAAAAAATACAAACATTCTTTTTTCACAGAGACATTATATCATCAATAAATTATTTTAAAAAATGTAACCGTTTTATCATTTACATTGTGGCAAATGGCCCGTAGGTTGCTTTCAATCTTCAATTACAACTTTAAATAGTCTTTAAATACACAAAGAAAGCAAACACTGAAAGCAAATTTCTAACTTGCAACAAAACAACTATGTTGTATCAGGTTAAATAGGCAAATTCATGACATTCATGCAAAAGATTTGAGTTTTTTTGGCTGGAAAACCCAACACTTCGCAAATAAGGCATACCAGACTAATCAGCAGCAAGGGAAATTTGTAGAAACACTTCACTTATTGTAAAGTCACTGGTGTCCACACCCAAGTCTGCCAAAAACTACAGAGCCAAAAATTCAAAAAGCTTCAAGTAGAGACAGCACAGTCCAATTCTGATGAAAAAAAAAAACTGTTAATTAGCTGGTCCTTGTATCACAAACAGTGGTGCTTCAGTTGTTGTTGGCACACATTTAGGAGTCGTCATCCGTTTTTATGACATGAAAAAGGGTGACATTAAAGATTACCTGGTGCCCATTATTCCAGGCATACAGTGCCCTCTCTCTGGCATTATAGTCAAGCATGGAGATGTGAAAGTACTGGTTGTGGAACGGTATATCTATGTATTCATAGGTGGAAGTCTTGGTAGAGTAAGCGTAGTAAACCTTAGCTCCTGACAGATGAGAGTTGGTGATATAAAGCGTCCCGCAGATCATGAACGATTCCCCTGCGTTTCTTTTTGAGTATTCGGTATACCATGTCTTCAAGACCTGCAAGGTGTCGGGGTCTATCTGGGAGATCACAACATTACCGGCGTTTTGATTGGTTGCATATACAACCCACATTCCTAGTTCATCGGCCATGACGTCTATGTCAGAGTATCCTCCCCAAGTGTAAGGGTACATGTTGTGGAAGCCGGCAAACTCCAGAGCTCGCTGGGCAAGCACGGTGCCGGTCTCAAAGCTGTACTTGACAATGATGTTGCTCTGGTATTTGTTGTAGTAGAGAGAACCATTGTAGACCATGTGATTGGTTCCCTCCCACTTAAATGGGAGGCTGTAGGTTCGAGAAACCACTCCTGACACAAAGTCTTCTATTGTCTTGAATTCGCGAACAATCTTACTGTTGGTGTAGCTGTCCATGTACCAAACCTACATTAGACAGGATGGAGGAATCAGTTAGAATTACATGTGCATCTAAATTTTTCTTTCTGAAATATTCAAACCTTGTCCCTTTTTCACATTTTGTCACAGTACAACCACAAACTAGGGCTGGGTGAGTAATTATTATACTGATTATTCAAATTGTTTGCTTCTGAAGATTTCCTTTTTGCAAAATCCCTTTTCACCAATCCATTCCTTGGGATTCCATAGCTTAAAGTGACAGCAGTTCTTTTTGTATTATCCTGAGATTTTCTCCTCCTGACTCATAAACTAGCTTACAGTGAGATATCACCAGCTGCAAACTTTTAGTGTCTTATATTTATTAATTTGTGAAATCACTTTTCACTACTTAAATTTCATTGCTCTTTAGAGATCACCCCCCAAAAGGAATTTTTGAAATAAAATATAGTTTTTCAAAGCCAAGTATGTATTTTGTCATTTTTTATTAAGAAAACTAAGGAAGAAAAATATGTATATAAAAGTTAACCTTTATTTTATTAGTTTATTGTGCTCAGCAACATTCAAGGAGCAGATAATATGAACTTGGAGTAAAATGATCAATAGTTTTTAGCCCTTTTTGAAGAAATACTCAGAAATTAAAGGAAGTGTCTGACTTATGTTCAAAGACTGTATTTCTCTAATATTCCATGCATCAAACAAATCTATGAAATTTTATTGCAATATTTATTGCAAGACCTACAACTTGCGATTGTATTTTCCACACTTTAGTCTGATACCTAGAAATAAAATCCAGTGGAACCAGTTGCTTCAAAAGCAGTGGCGGTTCTAGACCAAATTTACCGGGGGGCCAAATGAAGGAATGGCACAAAAAACAGGTCAATGGTTCATCGATTGCAATTTCAAGTGAACCAAAAAGCCATTAGCAGCTCAAGAAACCACACATATAGAAGACATACTTCGTAAACATATCTCAGTTTGACTTAAACTAAAAGTACAACATTTATTAGGACTATGTATTTACTACAGGGGCCATAATGAGGGCCAACACTAGTTCTACAGGGGCTCTGTTCTGTGATGACGAGAAAACATATTAGAAAACATTTGCCCTCATGTAAAATTTGAGGGATAAAATATATTTTTTATATATATATATATATATATATATATATATAATATTTTGTTTCTTGTTTCTTAGAGGTTGAGGAAAATCAAGAAAAACATAAAACTATCAAATGAGCAGCCACCAGGATTATCCAAATCTGCAGATATGCAGAGATCCAAAAACAAAAAACAAAAAACAAAAATAGTGACCATCTGCTGACAGGACAAGTCTGGTCTAAATGGAAGGATGGCAAGAAAAAAAACACGTTTAGAGCCACAGGAAGCTCTCTGTACAGTTTGCAAAAAGCAAAAAAAAACAAAACACTTATCATAAGGAAGAAGGTGGCCCTGTCTAATGAGGCTAAGATAAAATGTTTGTACCACATGCAAAGGCTATACATAATAGAACCCTAACACGATATATTACACTTGACAAAACATCTCCCTGTAAATGTAGTAGGGGCAGCAGCATGCTGTGGGACAGGTTGTCCTCAGCAGAGATGCTGGTCAGTGTTGATTGGAAGCAGAGATACTGTAATGCAGGCATTAAGGTTAAACTTTTAGTGGCACCAAGTAATGAAGAATGATCCAAGGAGAATAACCCTAAAGGTGTAAACCCAGCCACAGCAGCTGCTATCATTTTAGCAAAACCTTTCTTTGCAGTGTTAATTGAGGTGGACTAAATATAGTTGCTTTTCATACTTTCTTGTATTTGAAATCCATGTTTAAAACTTTGGATAATTGTTTTTTTCACTTCACAAATATTCACTGCATTGTGTTGGATGATCACCTCCAGTTGCCTAAATTGAACTTTTCAAGCATGATTGTGACTCTGAATGATCATATGAAATCAGAATAAAATTCCTTAATGCTTGTGGTTGTAATGACATAATATGAGAAAGTTACATTTATCACTAATACAAATATATTTTCTGACACCCTATATGTTTGTCCTATCTTACCCCACGCCCCACTTTGAACTGCAGTTAATTACATATTACTATACAACAAACTTGGTCTCCTTTAGCTAAAAAATTATAATTTCCATCAATACATTCTGTAATTACACTGGACCACCCCTAGGGAAACCCACTTCACTTGGGAACCACTGTTATGTATAATTAAATCAGATTAGATAATAAGACATAGATAATTGTACTGTAGCTTTTCTTCTTTCTTTTTGCTAAAATGATCAAAATCTTCCCCATAAGCACTTAAACTTCTTTTTTTTTTTTTTAGCTTACTTCTGTTAGTATACAACACAAATATGAGTGCTGCTGCAAAACTCTTGGAAGGAACCCCAGTGTTTCATTACTCACCCTGTTGTTTCGGGTCGTTGCAAGCGGATCAGTCATCCAAGCTCCAAACCGGGTTCCAGATGTCTTTATTGTAACAGGTCCAGTGATTTTCATTAATTTCCCACATGCTGTTGATACAGAAAAGCAGCGATAAGATGTGCTGGGGTGGTTTCAGTCTCTAACTAGATTTCTCAAGCCAATTTCATGCCTGCGTCAACAGAGAGCATGGCCTCCTGTGCATACTAAGATAGGACTGACAACAAAATACTTAAACTCAAAGCTTAACTGTCCAATTGTTGTTTGAATCTAAGAGTTACTCAGCATTCACAGGTCTCAGTAGTTTTTATCAGAGCAACCATGGACTTAAATTTGAAAACATGTTTGAAGGTTCAGAGCTGCACCGTTACTTGTACAAAACACTTTTTATAAATAAATAATTTTTTCCCCTTAACTCCCTTCTAAGCTTGAGATAACAGAACTCTAAATGCCAGGGTTGATTTGTAATTCAAACCCAGAACCTCTGACTAATTCATAGCATTGCAACTGCTTCAGAAAAAGAGTTCTACAGTGGAAAAAGATTAACACCATGGGCCGCTTCTCTTTCTCCTCATTAGGAGGCTATAAAGGAGGACATGTTACTCTTAATTGCCATCTTCAAGACATTGAGGGTGATTTTACTGTTAAAAGCCATCAATCCAAAACAACAGACCAGAGCATGAACAAAGCCTTTGTTTTTTTGTTTTTTTGCACTGGAATGAAAGTGAGAGAACAGCCATTAATCACTTGTTTGTTTTTTGTTAAAGGAAGAGAACATTCTAAAAAGATAAGTAGTCTTATTGCGCTGATGTTATATATGTTATATAGCTTGATTGCTCATTTCATTCACCTGTCTAGCTCTGCCCTGTTTGTCATCACTGCTCATGTGATTCACCTGCTCCTACTTCTAATTAAACTGCTTGGTCCCAGCCATCAGTGCCAGATTATTCTTCAGCCTTTGGTGTTGAGGGCTCTCTAGTCTTTCTATAGTGTTCTAATTGTCTGATTCTGATCTGTTTCTGTATTTGGACCTTGGATAATATACATTGGAATGAGTTGTATAGTTGTAAAGAGGAATTTATTAAAAGTGGTCTTACTGTAAAATATTATAGCTGCATTTCTAAACCTTTTAAGGTTCGATTTAGTGGAAAGACACAATTTCGCCATAAACCAGTGACAGGTTGTTTTCATCAAAGGAATAACCAGAAAACTTTTTCTAAGAGTCTAAGGACTCTTAGACTCTGTTAGGAATCCAGTTTATGTGGCCTGTTTGTGTGTTTCCTTTTTCCACCACCAGGTGGTGCCCTGTCTTTGCTGTCCCTCCCTGCACACCTGCGGCTCATTGGATCAGTATCTGGAGGAGTATTTGAGCAGTGGACTGTCACTACCTCGACGCCAGAGTGTTTGCCAGTTTTGGGTACTCTAGCCAAGCTGAGTTTTGCTGAGTCTAACCTAGCTTTGTTTCTCTAAGTCTAACGAGTTTTTGTCATGGCTCACCGGCAGGAAGCTTTCCTGTGTTACTGGATTTCTTGACCTTCTCTCCCCTGGAAGGAAAAACCGAGTTACACTGAGCAGGGGAGAACCTCCATACGTTCCGTTCAAGTACCCATCAGAAATCCGAGTGACAGCCCGCTCCATTACTCCTCCGGGTGCAACACTTATCAACCTGTCTGCCCTCCAAATCCAGTCTGGATTCAAGGACTAACAAGGCCCTCCTCAAATGTAAGTTCCCAACCTTGCAAAAATCCAAGATTCCCACGGTACCTGAACTGACCACTGAACTTCCCTTCTCACTTCCAGGTCACCAGCTCACTGAGTTCATGATCCAATGCCTGTTTACTCCTTCAATAAACCTGTTAAACTTTTTCTGTGCTCTCTTAGTGGTTTCTCTGCATGTGGGTAAGATTTGTTAAACCGATCATGACAGACTCTTAGACTCTAAAGCTCTTCAGTAAGAGCTTTAGAAATAGTAGGCCTTTTCCCAGGATCAGTCATTCACTCATCTGCAGGAGTCTCAGTGTGGACTCACTGCACAAGACTCCACTGCTGAAGGAGAAGCAGACTACGGCTAGTTTAAAGATAGTTGTCGAATATGCAGAAAAGGTTGTGTGTAAATAATACCGTTTTGTTTACGGGTAGAAAGCTTCTGCAAATCAAAATCACAGAGTTTCCAGGCACAGAGTGTCTTAAATTAGAAAGCACGGCACACATTGAAGAATTGAAAGGATTGAGAAATGCACTGAGACACTGATAGGAATCAAAAGATGAACCACATGTGGTTTTACAGTTGGACAATAATCCCAAATAAACACCCAATAAAACTTTAATAATTTTTTAGAGTAATAAAGTAAAAGAGTTTTACTGACATATTAAGTTTTTGGTGTAATCATATAATGTGACCATGTACTTTTAAAAACTCACTTGTTTTGAGAAAGCCCTACCTCTACAGTAGCTGTTCTTCTTAAAATATTGAAATATAAGTTTTAGCCCCAAGCCCAACATTTTTTACTTCCTCTATTAAGCCACTGCATAGTACTTTTTATGTTTTTTTCCCTCTGGTTTTTATCATATGAAACCCTTTAAATGATCTTGTTGCTGAAATGTGCTATTCAAATAAAATGTTCTCCCTCATATGTTTTAATTAATCTCAATTGCCTTATTACACACTAACACTGATAGCTTTAATATTTATTTTACCTACTGCACATAAGGAGGATTTAGAAAATCCTTTTATTTATGTATCTGCTATGGTTGTTTTTCTATATGGTACCCAGCAGTATAAAATGAGGAAAGAGAAGGTATGGCTCAGACAACCTCTGGCTCTGTAATATTTCTGCTGGTGTTATTCATTCTCCAGAGCAATGCCACGGATATTTTTAATAAGACTTTAGAAAATGCTGAGCTCATGCAGGTTTTAGAATATATCAGCTACCTTGACATATGATTAAAATTCTGACTTAATCCAGTAGGGAGCAACATCTACAGTATAAACAGCACTTACTAAGTTTGCCCATGCAGCTGCGGAGCCTGCTGTCCAGTCGCAGGACTCTCTTGTAAAGCTCGTCGTAATCGTAGGCCCCAAGCTCCTCCTGGATTCCCGTCAGCACCACGGAGAGGTTCCTGATCTCCTCCTTGAACTGTGAGATGAGTGCAGCGTCCATCTTGTACTGCTCCAGCACAGGTATCAGAGGCTTCAGCTCGTCCATCTTGTCCTTAAGCTCCTGCGGGGATGGCAGCGACAGCATCAAAATAATGGGAGGTGGAGAGGGAGGAGAGTGGTGGAAGAATATAGATTGATGCAGCAGTCAGGAGGAGACTACATGCTGTTTGATGTTTGACAGGATCAAAACCTACTTCAGAACATGATGAATTGTGTGAAGGCAAAACAGAGTGGCTATGTCCTATGTGAAAGAAAAAAAAAACAGCAGCTGTCCCCATATTAACTCTAAAGATTCCCTGTTAAATTGAGAGATTTTATCTTTAAAAAAATGAGAATTTAATTGTTTCAGAAATTCTCCGCATATAATGTAAAAATTGGTCTGAAAACTCAAATGTAAAATATCACAAGAAATAGATGTTTAGATAATTATTCTGTTTCACATTATTTCTGCAAATTAATTAGATCGTCTGCAGTCCTCTCTATGACCTCACATATTTTCAGTCGGATTTGAACTCTGGTTCCCTCGACAGCTAGTTTTCTTGTTATAAAGTGAATCCTGTTAAGTTGTTTTTATGCCCCTGGTGCTGAAAAGAAAAGAAAATAACTTTTTATCTCCAACTTTTTAGCAGACATCTCAAGTTTTGGGTCAAAAGTAGCTCAATACACTATTGTTGAAAAATAATAACTCTCAGCAAAATAGAGAATTACAAAATGGATGAGAACACTAGCACAGTTTTAATTAACCTGTGCAAGAAGAACAGCTACATTTTCTGCAGCTGAATGATTTTAAAGCAACACATTTGACCTTGATATTACCTTGAGATGCGTCAAATGATTTTCCAGGCCAATCCAATATACAGCACTTAGTGCATATCAATGCTCTGTCTGGGCTCCTCCATCTCAAAAAGTTCATGCAATTTGATGTCATAATCATTATCATCAACTTTATTTATAAAGAACTCTAACGAAAACCAAAGCTGTACAGTAAAGATAACAATAACAAGAAAAATGTACAATGGTTTACTGTAATAAAGCTAAATATCTAACAAAACATATGTACAATAGAAACAGTAAAATGTGACACTGCAATAAAATAGATTGAAATAATAATAATAGAAAGTAAAAGAAAAAAGAAAAAAGTAAAATTAACTTCAGCCAATATTAGATTGGTTTTAAAAATAGACAATGGCAAGCTTGTTTAGAACCTTGAAGACAAACAGAAGAAATTGAAAATAAACTCTAAAACACACGGCAGCCAAGAAAAGCCTAGACTTCTATGATGTGCTCTCTTTTATGTTTATCTGTTAAAAGATGAGCAGCAGCATTTTGCACCAGCTGCAGATGTGCAAGTAGGAATCATAATAACATTTAACTTGAGAGGGTTGTATCTGTCGCTGAATAACTGTGACCTAGGGTGCTGCCTTTTGGGGGTCCAAGCTTCCCTCTAATACCAGAGCCAGAGCTGTTGAGTAGGAGAATTCTGCCAGCGGAAGACCAAGAAAGTTAGGTTGCCAGGGTGTTGTGTTGATGGCAGAAGTGCTTGGCAACCCTTTCAAAACACAGGCAGATCTGTGCCAGACTTGATACTTTTGGTAATCGTTTCACAAAATGCACAACCATTACAAAAAGCTTACTGTTGGGAGGATCTGTTGTTAACCTCTACTGAGATACAGGGGATGTTGTCTCAGGATTAATATTGTTGTCTATTTAGAGGAAAAGTGCATGTTGTGTAGACTCACTTGACAGAAGTTTAAGTTATTGAGATTTCACACTCTTGTACAACTGGGTTGCAAGGTGATCCTCTCTTAATCTAGTTTTAGCTTTTATTATTAAATATCTACACAAACCTAGATCTGATCTAAAATAAAGTAATATGAATACTGATAACTGTCAGGATCTGGTTGCATTGTGTTTCTACCCAATGGAGCTGCAGGATTTCCCCAGAGGGCGGAGCTGAGCAGTGTTTTCCCCCTTTGAATCAAACTCATCAGCTGGAGCTTAAGAGAAGCTGGCTGCTGGTAATTGGATGTTGCACTGTCACACCGGAGTTATCTGCTAAGTTGTTTTCCCAAAGTTTCATGGCTGACGCTAACCCTCTTTTCAGTCTTTTTATAATAACAAATCCCGAGTTCCTTTATGGATCTGTCTCTTTGTGATTCTTTGGATTAATGGCTCAAACCTCTTTATCCCAAAACCTCACTGATTACTTTCTCCAAAACGGGCAACAATGAGTCCCTTTCTTTTGAAACCTCCAGCCCAACCTGTCAGCCACCTAAACACTGCTCTGTTTATGGTCAAAGAATATTCATCCTGAGTATTTGCTTTAATCCTCTGTCATCCTTTTCTCTCACTGTGATCCGTTTCCCCATGATGAAGAACTAGTCATTTAAAACCCCCCTGTATTATAATATCAAAGTTAAACTGTTATTCTTGTGTCCTGGGAGCTTTCCTGCATGCAGATAAGAAGCCTGACACAAAATATGACAGCAATATCTTCCCCCTGAATAAACTTGTTGATGAGGAGTGTGTTTTTTAAAATATGGCATGAATCATCATGTTTTAAATTCAGCTAACAGTAAGGGATTACACTGGAGAACAATTGCTAATTTAATAAAAAAATATAACCAAAAAGGTTCCAAGTCCAACAAAAAATACTAAATAAATAAAATTATGCTATTGATTTTATACCTTTAACACAGGGAGCTTACTGCTACTTCTGTGTGCAAGTAAAGCTTGTAATTCTGTCTTATATTACAATATGGTGTCAGTTAAGATCATTTGTTTCATCAGCCTCCTTTAAAAGGTCTCTGCTTCTGTTTTACTTGCTTTGTTGCCCCAGAACTCCACTCTGCTATGCTCCGAACCCAATATAGAAATACTCCAACTACTGTAAAAAGATGGACAGCAGAAAGAAGAGGGTTGTCTTATATGCAAAACTTTCTTTTAGATGGTGGTAGCCAGGGGAGGCAGTGCATCTGGACCATCTGTGGAACCATCACCCGTTTCAAGATTATGCTAAAGTGAAAAAGCTATCATTAGCGTCAGTTAGTGTTGCTAAGACAGACAGCTTTGTGATTGTGCTGGTCACAACTTTGCTGTGTTTTAGAGTTAAATTGCGTATTCGATTGCATTTAATGAAAGGTAAAAGTGCTGTGTACACTCATTCATCTTTACCATTTCTGTTGTTTCTTTGTGTATGTAATAGTTTATTTATAAAATTCACCTTACACAGCCCTTCAGAATCTGAAACCCTGTAAAAGATTCAAATGCAGTTCATTATATTCGTAAACAAAGTGACTATTATTGCATAATAAACCCCGATTGACTGTTGAGCTGTTGAAAAAAACCCTCAAAATTATGTCACAAACTCTGCATCACAAAGATGACAACATACCAAAAAACTGCATATTTGCAGCATATATATTATTGATCTTAACTTCCATATCAATGGTTTTTCTCCTACACTGTTTGATCACTACTGTACTTTATGGAATGGACATTTTCATTTATTGTCTGAAAAGCTGTACTAAATGAAATTTGTTTTGTATACACTCTGTTTATACAAAATTACAATACAAGTTGTCTAAGTCTGATTTTCCTAAGTTTCTAAAGCTTTAACAAGCGTATTATCACATGAAGACTTTGCTTATTAGTATAGAGTCTATGCTAACAATCAATGTATAAATGTGATAAGACGTGATTAGTCTATAGCAAAGACTAATTGCTTTAAGGGCCCAAAATCGTAAGTATCATTGCGCTCATAAAGAGGAGTAAGACCCTGCATGGACTGACAATTTAGCATGATACTGTAGATGGGATAAAAAATATTATTTTCCTTTCTTAACTCAGACATTTTAAGATTATGCATATTTTTGCTTATGGTTATACCATCAGAATTTCATACCGGTCCAAATGTCTAGCCCATAGCCACATACGGCTGTGTTGGCCCTTTTTGGTGACTTCGTAAATTTTAGAGCGCTGATGTTAAGAACCAATATAATTCAGGATAAGGGAGGGCAAGTCCAGTCCTCAAGGCCAAATGTCCTGACCATTTAAGACACCTGAATCAATCAATCAATCAATCAATCAATCAATCAATCAATCAATCTATCAATCTATCTATCTATCTATCTATCTATCTATCTATCTATCTATCTATCTATCTATCTATCTATCTATCTATCTATCTATCTATCTATCTATNTTTACCTAGTTGCTCAATTGAAATATCTAACCTTTCTATTCATTTTAAACTACATTTATGACAGTCAATAACAGCATACAACTTTAGCAACCAGCTGTTACAGTAACAGGAGCTTGCCAAAGGTTCCTAGGTCCATTCTAAATCTGTGAAAACTGGCACTGAGGAAATGCACATGTCATCTTGGCTTTGTAAATAACTTAAAGTACACATCTTAAAAGATTAGTTGTTACGCTCTAATTATTGTTGTACAGTTTCTTTTTCATTTAGACAGACGTGAAAATTGCCTCTGACGATCAAGTGGGGAGTTTCATCTTTGTTTAGGCATGCAGGGTTTCCTCCAACATATTATAAGCCTGGAGGGCGGCCAGGCTTTACTCACTCATCCACCAGGATAAGCATCATCATTGTATTTTAAATGCACTGATGTTTGAAAATGACATAGAACAGCAGGTAAGATTCCAGTCTAAGAGAAAACCTCCAGCTTTGATTGGTTAACAAGCTAGCTGTTATTATAGCCGAAAGTAGAAAACAATAATTCTCAGTCTCGAAGGAAACTACCCACTAAAACAGACTGATCTCTGTCTTAGAAGGTACCATCAACTGATTTTTTTTTTTCAGTTTTGTTATCAAAACTTCATCAGTCATTAGACGTGCTGACACTACAGATGCTCCTGACGCAGCACATGGACGAGTAAATATGTTGTTGTCGTTGTCAGGGCAACTACAATGTTTTATGTCATGCAGCAACGTTCAACCAATCATAGAGTGTCACTGGTATGTGCAGGGCCTTAGCAGATTTGGTACCCGAGCGGATGTGGTACCTACACAGTCTCTTTTATGTGCCATTAGGATGGCAAGTGATTACACACTAGATATATATTTTCTCTAGAAAAACCTCAAATACTAACTATAACAAATAGAAAACAGACCTACAGATTTACTTTGGGGAAACCGTACATGTTTTAAATGTAAGTTTCTTGAACTGGAATTGTTCAATGCTAATGTTAGTATTTTTTTTACAAGCTAGTTCTCATAAAATAAATGGAATGCAGTGATCAAACAATAACTAACTATTTGAGTTGACTTTTTTAAACAAATGTTTTTTGGATGACTCATTTTTACCTACACCTGTACTGAAGTAGTATCACTCAATGTTGGCTTCTCTACCCACCTCAGCCTACGCTACAGCAAGCCATGTGACCAACCTCTCCACTACGCCTGTCAAAATGTGGGTGAGCTGCTGACATGTAATGCTGATTAAAAGCTGCATGGGAATTTAGTACACTTCAAATCTACTGTGTTTTAACCATGTAGCTGAAACTCCTTTAAACTATAAAGAAAAACATTATCAGGACCTTAAAGACTGCCTTTGTTAGCTTTAACAACTCATTTTCAACTTTACAGACTAGTGTTGGTTTTCTCATATATAACTTACTAAAAAATACTTAAATGTTTGATAATAAATGGAAACAAGTTCGATGACTTTAGCAGGGGTTCAACTGAACACCTGTGATAAAAGAATGCTTCGTAATACCTGGAAATTCTTGGCCATGACGGATTTCCTGTCATCATCAACCTGTCTGAACTTCGTCCTCAGGCCTTTCATCTGGTTCTCCATCTTTATGACATACTGGAAATCCCTCTGAGTCCGCAGGTTCAGCACTTCAATGGACTGGGACATGTTCTGCACCTTAAATAAAAGAAGGTCAAGGTCAGCCAGGACCTGAAACAATCTCTATTCATGAGACTTAACTTGTAGCATGAAAGCAAAATCATTTTTAAGAATAAAAGCACATTAATATTCCTTGACATCTTTGCCAGTGTTTTTTGGACAGGGTAACAGTTGTGATAATGTCACAGTTTAGACTTTAGTATTTTTAAAAGTCTCCTTTAATGCAATTTTAGAACGGTGGCAAATGAGTGTTACATATATATATAAAGAAGTTATGTGGATAGAGTCATTTAAATTTACAGTAGATACATAAGACACTAATGAGAATATCTTTTCTTATTAGCAGCATTTTTCTCATTCATTCAAATATCATAAAGTTTTTAAAAAGGTATTGAATTGAGTGAATTTACCCAGTTTTCCAGAGATTTATTCATACATTCTTGATATGTAGGTGTGCCGGTTTTCGGCACAGAAGTCTGTTTTGTGTAGGAGGGGGTGATTAATGGAGCTCGGGCTACAGAAGGTCTAACTTTTGGATGTTTGAGGATTGTGTTTACTTCGTAAATCACGTTTCAGGTGCAAAGGAGGGATCAAAAACAACAGCATGAAAAACGGAAGGCAGTACCAGGACTGAATACAGATGCTCAACAAGCTGTTTTCTTTACACCAGCACTTCAGAATCAGCACTTTGTTCTCATTGCAGACATTTTAAATATAAATATAATGAAATTGATTTAAAATAAGTTACAGATTACACACAGTAGATTTAGAAAATAGAAACAGATTGAATTACTGTTCTATGCATGGACTCTTACTGCTACAGTAGGTGATTATTAGAGATACAGCCCTAAGGTAAGATCGGCTGTGTCTCTATGGATGTGAATCAGAATGCACAAAAGGGAAGTAGTGCTCACTGAATTTAAATAAACTGACTTTTAAATATTAGAAAAGCATCAAATTTCCATGTTATAGAATTTCATAAGTTTATTCAAACATGACTGAAACATTTGCAAAAATTAAGTTTTTAAGTTTGTATCTTTTGCAGCCTCTAATTTTTTTTCTCTTTCTTGCTTTTAAATCTGGGATGTCAGTTTAGGTAATTTGACCATGGCCAGTTCAGTATGCAATTATTTTCAGATGCTAGTTTGAACAGGGCCCCATGAAATATTTAAAACCTGGGATACAAAATTCCACTGTTTAATCTCTTTCAGGTTTGATCTTGTTTATTCCTTTGTGTTCAAAATCTGTTTTTGTTTTTCATTGATGTTCTCTAGCAAACCTCTGTGGAATTTTCTGAAATTCATTCTAAGTAGAAGGGTTCAGTAGAAGGCTCATATATTTTGTCCTTCTGTTCAACAGTCCTGAACTGAATAACTATACTCCTTTCTCACCATGTTCAGCTTACAGTGTAATTATTCTCTTCTGTTTGTAAAAGCAGAGATGCATCTAAAATATGCAGGGCAGATGCCTTGAATTTTACAATCTGAAGATGCAACCAAACAAGACACAATCAGTTTTTGTTTTTATTTTTTTTTTGCATGATATTAAATTAATTGGTTGAGGCTTCATTGCACTTTATTCTAAAAGAAGCTGAAGCATTCTAATAAAAAGTTACTAATTTCTTTTGATTTATAATGTATCAGTTCGTGTTCTAAAAATAAGCTGAACCTATAATCAAAACTCTTTTTTAATGAACTAATTGAATAAAACTAGTGTATACTTTTGAATCTGTTATCTTAACTCATTATTGCAACATAAAACAAAAGGAAATGTATCTAAATACTGTTTAAAACATGCATAATGAATAAGATGTAAGACCAAATGAGGACACCAACACACAGACGTTGCTGGGGTTTCAGGCTTTTGGTATGTGTGCCTGTGCATGCTACAGAGGAAAAGGTAAATATCTCTTTGTAAATATGCTTACCTTTTCTAGCAGCTGTCTGAGCTGTCTGCTTTTTGCATCTCTGGAGCACAGGCTCTGTTCCGGTGCTACCACAGTGCAGATGCAGCGGCCGTCAGCATCCTGGGCTGAGCTGTACACTTGCCAACCCTCCTTAGGGCCGATAGTCTGCAGGTACAAACAAACACAAAAACACGCTGAAGCTATACTGATGTGATCTGAATTGGAAGCTCAATGTTTGCATGCATTGGCAGCTCAGTCATTTTAATGCCAAGCTGTTCCGTATAGGCCCACCTAAAAGTTGGATAAGAAGTACTTGATGACAAGAATGTATTCATATTCACTAAGTTGGATAATTAGTTAAACATTGTCTATTTCATTAAATTCACTAATCATATAGGATAATTGAAGAGACAGGTATTAAGCATAAACTCTCTATAATTATGATCATTTTTGGCTTACATATAGTGAAAATACATTTCTGATTAGAATACCACATCAGGCTAAAGAACATTCTCTTTTTAATGCATACATTCTGGTTAATTAAAAACATGTTTTTAAAGATGAAGGGATAATATCATATCAGAAAAAAGAGTTTATGATTAAACTCTAGTGCAGAAATAGCTCTTTGAGAAGATTGCATTTCTCAGAATTCTAAGCATCATTTCCAGGCGTTGTCCTGATTGTGAGGCACCTGGATGGAGCCTCTCTCACAAAGCAGGTTTTTTTTTTAGTGTCTGTGTATCAACACAGTCTGTGTCCTCTGTGCAATGCTCCGTGCAACATTAGGAGACCACTAGTAGGGTTGAAATGTGGAAGGCTGTGTGAGCAGAGATGCGTGTTTATTCTTTTTCTACAACAGACTGAACTCGAGCATGTTACTTAAAATGGGATTTATCTGAAAAAACAACAGCATCCTTTAGTGCTAAACCGTAATGTGGGCTACAGTGGCTGCTGACTTTGATAGGTTGCATTTATCATTTTCCAAAGCCAAAGTAAAATTTCAGATTTTTGAGCATTTTCTGATGGTTATACTGTATCTAGGAATTATATTTCATTTAAGCATATTTAGAGCCCTGCAAAAACATTAATACCAATTGACAAGGATGCAGTGATATGAAAATCTGAGGCTAAATAATTCAAAATGATATTGGTGTTTTGGCAACTACATTTACCAGCTAAATATGTTTGAAACACACATTTTTATTTCAGACCTGATTTTAAATCCCAACTCTTTCAACACTGATAAAAATAGTCATAATGACACTGCCTTTTCTGCTTTCAATAAAACACCTATATTCCTGCCAGATATCAATTCCACTAGCTGCGCTTCCTTTACAAATATTTTCAAAACTATGTTGATATACTGACAGTTTTAAAAATGCAGGGTTTTTCTGCAGTAATGTTGCAGTATTTCCATTAAATAACAAATAAATTACGATTTAAACTGTACGCAAAGTTCGTTCACGCGATAACTCTAAAAGAAACATGGCAGCGATGGATGTAAACACATGAGATATATCCACAGTCCGAAATGAACTTTTGGACTCACTGGCCAAGCAAAAAAAAATGTCCTTTCATATATTTTTAAGGAACATATTATTTCTCTAGGGCATTATGTCAGATGCAAACAAGGTTACAGTAAAAGGTAATGTAGTTAGATTAAATAAAGTTATAATTTAGAATTTCATTCAATTTCTTTCATGACTGCAGCCCCGGTAGCTGATCTAATTACTCACTTCATTCACCTGCCATTGCCTTCCCAGTCTCTAATTATCATTGATCTTATTCACCTGCTGCCTATGCTATATATTCGGTTCAGCCCAGCTATCAGGGCCAGATCATTATTTGTGTATTCTTAATTTATTCATGTTATGTTTTGGTGTCAGTTATTTATGTTTGTTTTTCATGAGAGTTAACCTATCAAAACCCACTGGATTGCCAGCGTTTACAAATAATAACTCAGAATGCATGAAAATTACACTGGTAAAATGCTTACCAATGTAGACATGTTAGACATTGTTGGAAAGCTTAGATTCTCCGCAATTCAACCACCTAGTTCATTTTATGGACACAGCAAGCACCAAAGCACAATTAACACAGATATAGCAGCATCTCAAAATGTACCATGACAAAGCAGCCACAAGCAAGCATGTCTTTATAACTGCTGTTCAAAAAAGACCTATTATTTTAGAGAATTAAAAAAAAGAACTTTGAGTCTTGTTTGAACTGATGAAGCTTGGGTGTTTTACTCACCCAATTTTCATGTACATATTCAGAAACTAGAAGGTGTTAGCTTTCAAATAATGTATCACAGCTGTAATTTTGGCTTACAGTCCTAAGTTATTTGCTTTTCTATTTGGGTAAGCAAAATAGGCGAGAATTTCCCAAAATGAGGTGGATGTTAAGAGGCTAAGTTCCTGGTTCATGTCGCGAGTCTTGGAGGCCAGTGGATTGGTGTTTGTCTCCTGCCTCCTGGTCGTTGGTTGCGAGTTCTGGTCCTTCTACGTGGAGCCCTCAGGGTTTTGGTTAGGAATGCAGGGTTGCTGCATCAGGGACACTTTGGACAGCTCTGAGCAGCATCTCGTTTGGCAGTCCATCGGCTGGATCCTGCCTTCTGAACTGTAAGTGACTAAGACCAGGTAAGTGACTCACTCTGAAAATCATCTCCTGTCAGATGATCGTGGTCACTTACTGGTGTTTCTCCCACATCCAGAGTGCCAGTGTTGGGTTGCGCCCTGCCCTCCTGCAGCCGCTGCAGTCCGCTTATCCTCAGCAGCCTGCATTTCTGTTCCGTTCTGTTTTGTTATTTTTCTATTATTAAACATTTTAAAATTTCCCATTGTCTGACTGGCATAAATTGTAGATATTTTTGTTACAGACCAACTTAGAGGCAACAGATGAAAACATTGGGCTGAACAACAGCCTGGTAAACTTGGTTCGCAGACTGCATTTAACATTATCTGCTAAGCTTAAGGAGGAGCTTCACAGAGATGTAAAAAGCTTCCTTAAAGATACATAAAACCTCCTCACAGCCTGTTTTCTCTCTGACGTGGTCAAACAGCTGGAAGCCGCCGAACACATGAGGAGGACAACACAAACGAAGGTCTAAAACTCTGGAGAAACAGCTTCAACCTGGATCCAAAATTGAAATTAAGATCAGCTAGTGGTGAATTCAACATTCATTCCAGGGCTTATTAGGTTATTGAGACTGTCTTAATTTTTCTGAACTTCTAAAAAAAGGAACTGAGCAAGAGACCCCCATCCCCCAGGAGAAAAACTGTCTCTAGCCGCGTTGAAAAGAGGTTACCTTCATGCCCTTCGAGACGGAGTTATAGGAACCACAGCCCTGCCAACCTAAGTGTCTTCATCCATAAAATAAAGTTACAGTCACTTAATCAATTATGCAAATTTTGTAACTGCTTTTGCTGAATCCTGCGAAAGGATTTTTAAGAAAGGTTAAGGCTGCTTTTTAGTTTTACTTGTTTAATTCTTTAACCTAAACTGATATAACTATCAAAATCTTTTGAGTGTCCTACAGCAAAGAGCAGATTTGGCCACTAATGCTGGAATTAAACTGCAGGAGTTTAATTACATCACTCCAGTACATTTACATTTAAACAGTATAATCTTATGGTATTGATAAATAAGCTGCAACAGCCTCTTTCTAAATGTTTTTAGTATGGTGACTAAGTAAGCAGAATTATAGTTAAGAAGTTAAAAGATTCACAACAAAACAAATGTTCATATCTCTCTTAGTGTCTATGCCTGGTCAGGAGGCAGTAAAATGTTTATTAGCATCAGACTGAAGTGCATGAAGACTTCCTGTAAGCATTAATTGCAGTTGCTAAGCTACAGTATGATTGCGCTCTTACTGTAGGACCTACAGCAGGTATTTATAATGTCGATAAGAAAGTTTGACTTTATTGCAAAGTATGTAAGAGGAAAATCTTTTCTCTCTGCGGTTTGATGTGAACACAACTGGATCCTCCAATCTGCGAATAACTTGTTATTTTTCCATAGCCCATATTTACATCACCAGCATAGAAATTTGGTCCACTGTGCCATTTGAGGAAACTAGGATCTGTCTCTTTAATAAAGCAAAAAATAACCACCAGTGAAAAGCAACTTAAAGGTATTGTGGAGGATCTTCGCAAATTTTTGAAAAGACCTGCCTTCTCTACTTATAAATAAAAAATGCACATTGCACAACCCTGTACCCGCTCCCGAGTGGGAACATCTATTAAACCCGTGCAAGAGCATGCACAAGCCCATTTGTCTCCTTGTGCACGCTCTGTTTAAAAGTTTCTGTTAGCATCGCTCATAAAAGCTTACTTTCCAAAAGAAGATTTTTAATTTTTTCACTATGTTAGACTCAACACGGGTAAGTGAAAATGGGGACGAATACATACATAGGATGGCCTTAAGTAAACATATCACCAAAATGATTGACAATTAGGAGGACTATTTATTTTCCTCCTGGAAAAAGAACATCCTCCACTATACATTTAAAACCAAATACATGTCACAAATTTTGATTGTTTAATTTACTACCAGTTCTCGATATAACAAAAGACAATAACATTCATTATCAAAACGTGTTTTGTTCACTTTACTTCTCTTCAAAATTTTGACAAAGTGCCATGTGACGCCAATAGTTTTGACTAATTTTAATTAGTTGTCTTGTTGGCATCAAATATTTCTATAATATTTAACCCTCAAAAGTAAATCCTTTCAAAATAACTTCTTAGGTACTGTACTCAGTGGAGGATTGTTAGAGGATTGCACAAATGTCTATATCTCTCGTGTCCTCCCCCCAAAAAAAATTGGTTTTGACAAAATCTGTATTGTTTCCCCAAACAATTTATCTTCTGTTTAGACAGAAATTTTAATTTTGAATGCTAGGAAGCCAGAATAGAGGCCATGTTTAACATAAACTTAATTTATGAGTAGGTAGATATGTCATGGTTTGGAGATACTTTGCTGCAGCAGGACCTGGCTTGCTTCTCGCTATAGAATCCTAGGAGACTACTGTATATCCGAAGCTCGTTGAGAGAGACATATAATGACCAGTACAAAGTGAAAATAACCAAATAACAATGACAAAAACATAAATATATTAAGGAATGGCAGAGAGTAAGTAAAATGTTTGAAGTGTTTTTTAATTC